GGGCGGCGGGTGGGCGCGTCGTCATCGTCGCCGTCGCGCGAGCTGCGCTTCGTCGTCATGGCCACCGACGGGCTGTGGGACATGGTGTCCAACGAAGAGGTCGTCGGGTTGGTGGCGGGCCACCTGGCCGGCGTCAAGGGCACCATTCTGGCCACGGACCTGCACCGCCAGTGCTTTGAGGCGAGCAACCAGGACCTGGGCAAGCTCGGGCAGGCGACGCCCGAGCAGCAGTTGCAGCTGGCCAACGCCAAGCAGCACCCGCTCTCAAAGGGGCCCGAGGAGCTCAAGGCCTTCACGTTCCAGGACGACAACCTGTCCACCCACCTCATCCGAAACGCCCTCGGCGGCGCCAACCAGCAGCGCGTCTCGGGTCTCCTCGCCATCCCCAGCCCGGAGTCGAGGCGGTACCGCGACGACGTCACCGTCAACGTCATCCTCTTTAACTCGCCGCGCGCCGGTGCCGCATCCACCTCGACGACGACGGCGGCGGTGGCGGCGGGGGCAGCGGGAGCAGCGGTGGGGGATGCCGACAGCGAGGTGCTAGAAGGTAGACAGGTCACGCCGCAGGGCGCCTCGCTGCCCAACGTGGCGCAGCACGGCGACCAGCCAAAGGCCAAATTGTAGAGGTCTCCCCTCACCGCGCTGCTGCTGCCCCAATCTAGCCAATCGCCTTGTACGAACATCCTTACGACCCATCCATCCCTGCTCGCCTTCATCTGCCCGACAAACGAGCGTCCAGAGGGGCGCATCGGCCATGCCCACCGCGACGACGACGAGCGGTACCCTACTTTGATATGCATGCCGTTGATCGCTCGCGGTGATTCGAGGCCAAGTGGCAGATATGCTGCAGCTGTGTGGGTTGCGCGGAACGGCCAGCGGACGATGAACGGTACAAGTACAGGATGCGTTCTGCACGCAACAGAGGGAGAGACGAGGAGGGGCCGAGAATAAGACACGAGCAGAAAGAACGGAGGGAGGGAGGGACAGGGGAGCCCAATGTGGCAGCGGTGGTGACGGCTGCCTAAGCCGAGGGGACGGCAGCAGGTGCGTCGTCGGACGACGCGGCCGCGCCCTCGCCCGCCGTCGTCGTGGGCGGCTTGACGTCTTCCTTTGCCGCGGCCGGCCCCGTGGGCAGACCGCTGAGCCGGCTGCGGAGGTTGGCGTACTTTTTCCGCTGGGCCAGGCTGACGCTCGGCTGGACCTTGTCGAGGGCGCGCGAAAAGTGGCGCTGGGTGATGACGACGCTGGCCACCCTGTCCGCTGACGACGCCAACGACGAAGACGGCGGCAAGCGGCCTGGCGGGTCGGCGTCGAGCGACATGGAGAACTGGATCGTCTCGCGCAGCGCCGTCACGGCCGCCTCGCGCGTGAGGGCGGCCAGGTCGGCTCCGCTGAATCCGTCGGCGCGGGCGTCTTGGGCGACGGCGCGCAGGTCGACGACGTCGCCGGCCTCGGCCACGTTCGAGGCATCGGCCAGCGGCGACTTTTTCGTGAGCGTCTTTAGGATCTCGACGCGCTCGGCGGGCGAGGGCAGGTCGACGTAGAGGAGCTTGTCCAGCCTTCCCGGTCGGCACATGGCCGGGTCGATCATGTCCGGCCGGTTGGTGGCGGCGATGACGTAGGTCTGGACGCGCGACTCGAGCCCGTCGAGCTCCGTCAGGAGCGTGTTGACCACGCGCGACGACGACTCGGACAGCGCATCGTCCCTCCGCGGCACCAGCGCGTCGAGCTCGTCAAAGAAGATGACGCACGGCGAAGACGTGCGCGCGCGTGCAAACACCTGGCGCACCGCCTTTTCACTCTCGCCGACGTACTTGTTGAGCAGCTCGGGCCCCTTGACGCTGATAAAGTTGGCCCGCGACTCGTTGGCCACCGCCTTGGCCAGCAGCGTCTTGCCGCACCCCGGCGGGCCCCACAGCAGCACGCCAGAGCTGGCGCTGACACCGACGGCGCGGAAGAGCTCCGGCCGGCGGATCGGCTGCACAATGGCCATCGACAGCTCCTCGCGCGTGTCGTGCAGCGCGCCGACATCGGCCCACGACACGTCGGGCACCGTGGCGAAGCCCTCGCGCTTCGAAGAGGGCTGCACCGACGGCAGCGCCTCGACAAAGTCGTCGTTGGAGATCGAGAGCGGCTCGAGCTCGGCGCTGCTGAGCGGCAGCGGGTGCGTGCGAAGGAAGGTGGCGATCGAAGAGTCCCTCAGCGACTCGGGTAGAGCATCAAAGAAGCTGCTGGCCGGCTGGACGCCAGACGAGACCGTCACAACCTTGCTGGACGCGTCGGACGCGGCGGCGGCGGGAGGCGTGTGAGGCGGCCCAGGCTGATCAACTTGCGGTTGCGATTGCGCTGGTTGCTGCGCCGTGGCTTCTGCCTCGCTCGGAGCTTTGGTGGCATCTGCATCGGCAGAGCTCATCTCGACGTCCGCCGATGCAAAGGCTTGAGGGTTTGGGGCGTCCGCCGAGGACGCCGCCTCCGCAGGCGCGGCCAAGCTAGCGACATCGCCCGGCGGAGGCAGCGCGCCTTCGATGCCAAGCTGACGGAATATCCGCTTGACGGCAATGATGCCTGCTGCGCTCGTCAGCGCCGTCAAGTCGGCACCGACGAAGCCCGGAGTGGCCTTGGCCAGAGCACGGAAGTCGAAGCCGCCCGAGAGGCGCAGCTTGCCGGCCAGGACTCGGAGAATCCTGCGCGATGGGACAGATGATGGGCACGATGAGTTGATGCTCTGCGTGTCAGCACTGCCGTCAAGTCCTGCAACAACGACGACAAAGGCCGCCTCGCCCGCCGAGCGCGCGGGCAGCACGCGGGGAGAAGCCAAAGGTTCATGGACTTGAATGGGTGCCCGAAGGCGTCCCGCTCAGCGCGGTCTAGGACCGCTCACGAGTATGCGTGTTTTTAATCTTGACCCAGGCCGTCTCTCCCCCCGCGACATCTTTCAGCCATTGCAGCGGCGGCATCACCGGTGACTGCCGATTTGGAAACTCACTGTTCGCGACCGTCTTCGTCCGGTACCCCCAACGCGATCTCGTGGTCGAAGCGCCCCGCCCTCCTGAGGGCAGGGTCGAGAGAGTCGGGCCGGTTGGTGGCGCCGATGATCATGACGGGCTTGCCGTCGGTCTTGTCCCAGGACAGGTCGTCGAGCGAGGTCAGCAGCTGCGCCACGATGCGCCGCTCCATCTCGCGCTGCGCCGTCTCACGCTTTGGCGTGATGGCGTCGATCTCGTCGATGAAGAGGATGCACGGCGCGATCGACGCAGCCTCGTCGAACGTGTCCCTCAGCGTCTTCTCCGACTCGCCAGAGGTGCCCGAGACGATCGAGGGCGCCGAAATCGAGAGGAAGGGCACGTTGAGCTCGCCGGCCAACGCGCCCGCCAGCATCGTCTTGCCGCAGCCGGGCGGGCCGTGGAGGAGAACGCCGCGCGGAGGCTTAACGCCGGTGTGGGCGTAGATCTCCGGGTGGCAGAGGGGCATGGCGATCAGCTCCAGGACCTTTTCAATGGCCGAGGAGATGCCGCCAAGGTCCGACAGGCGGGTCGAGGGAGGGGTATACTTCTCCGCCGTCGGGCCTTTGGCCGTGAGCCCCTTGGCCCGCTTGATCGATGATGGGCCAGCGGAGCCGGAGACGCCGTCGACGCGCGACGACCTCGACTTGCGCTTGGTCGAGGAGGCGATGCCGGCCGAGCCCGAGGCCTGCGGCGAGCTCTGCCGCGTCCGCGGCGTCGATGCGCCAGTGGACGGGCCGGCGACGAGGCCGTCAGCGCCGGTTTCGGCAACATCAACGCCCTCGCCTCCTTCCTGGCGCTGCCGCGCCTCCTCCTCCTGCCGTGCCAGCGCCGCTGCTGCTGCGGAGCCGGGGGGCGGTGGTGGGAGGGGCGGCGTCGACGACCCGGGCACCGATGACGGCCCCGCGCCGGG